GGGGAAGACAAAGCACTTCTTCCCAGTCAAGCTGCCCCACTGGCCTTTTGTCAGAAATAGGTATGTTGTGTTGGAGGTTTTGAACAAAAGAAAATGGTGTGTAATGTAAATGTACTGTTAGATTTGGCTTGTAGTTGTAATGTAGATTTGAAGCATTGGAGTCTTATTACAAACTCACACAGTTAGCTGTTGTCAGTTTTGATATGTATCCTTGTGAGTAATGGCTGTGGAGATGGTGGGCCATAAATTCATTTAAGTGATTGGAAGTTTGACAAAGTTGCTAGGGAACAGGGCAGCAGACCAGCAGAAAAAAACACACCAGAGTGCATCCAGAAAGCCATCCCTGCAGTAGCTTGCAATTCTACAGTAATTTGCAATGATAATAATATTTTTAAAATATACACACACAGCTAGGCTTTATCCATGCATTCTTTTAGAGATTTGATTGATTTTTCTTGATGGGCAGGCCTGGCTTATGAAGCCATACAGGAAAGTATGGAACAAAAGAATTTCCATGTTCCACTTGTCAAAGTCAGTCTCAACAAGTTTTGTTTGGTAGACACATGCTCTTCTCTGGCATAAATCAAATCTCTTGCCTTTCTTAAGGAATCAAACGGCATTCATAGTCTGATGCCTGCTGTACCTTCAGGGAGCCACACATGGATAACAAAGCAAAGCTTAGCAGTAAACTCCGCTTTTATGTGAAGAGAGGTTTTTTGCGTATTTGATGAGGCTGTGAGTAAGAAGCAGGTCAAAGTTGGCAGTTCCTTTGGTATGCTCAGCTCTACTTTCAAACGGCTTGTTTATCCTGAAATTATGATCCTTGTAATTATTTAATATTGGGGCCAATTGCACCAGCCCAACAGCAAACTATCGAGGGTGGAAAAAACCCTCCAGCGTCTAAATAGCTTCAGTGTAAAATATGATGGAAAAAGTTTTTTGAATGTCTTACTTCCATCTTTAAAAAATAAAATATTTGGCCTTTCCCTCTTTTTAATGACAAATCTTACTGTTTCTGGGTCCTGGAGACGTAAAAGATGTCCTCTGGGTAGGCACTGCTTTTTCTGGCTAGAAAGAGGGAATGAGAGAGCTTTAGTGTTGTGTTCTAGTTTTTAAGATTCATGATTTCCTCTTTCCCCTTGTCTTGACACAGGAGGCTTCCAAACTACTTATCTGTGCCTCATTAATTAATGTAGTGGCCTTCTGAGAGAAAAGCATCACATCATTCAGCTGCTTTTATTGTTGTTTTATTTTTGTCTCTGTTTTCATTTGCTTTGTTGTATGTGTTGAGTTTTTCTGTTTTTTACGTAATTTTAAACCATTAGGTAACAATCATACAACTAAAGCTTGATTTTGTTCTGTTTTGTTTTGTTTTCTTTTTTTTCCTCCCTCCAGTTAACTTTTGAAAACTTGCAGTAGCACATGCTCAGTACTGTTTAAACTCTTCTTAAAGAATGTCTCATAAATCATCTCAGAGTAGGGGCAGGTCAGAAGAGAATTTTGTAACAAAATGAAGATCAATCAAGTAATATTCACACCCCATCATTTGTTGTTCACTAATAAGAATAAATCTTCAGCACCTAAAGTGCAGTGTTTTGCCTAGGATGGCTAGCCAAGATGGAGCTGAGAGCATTAACTGACATCTGAAGCGTAATTGCCATCCGCGGAGCTGTGTTTTTTCCCCAGGACTGCAGAGAAGCAATGCAGCTACTTGGGGGTTTTGGACTTGTTACATGTTCTTAAGAGTTATTTATGTTCCAGTCAGTTCAGAACTTCGTCTTCCTGGTAAATCCATTTGATTATATTACCATAATATGCCTAAAAATAAATCCTGCCTGCATCCAGGATTTTTGTTCTTGTGATACATAATGAAGGCCTGCTCCAGTTTATCTTCAGTGGCAGCTGGATTGGGCCTCATGTTGAAGCTTATTCCTAAACTTTCTCAGACTGCATACATCCAGCGTTGTCGGCTTGTTTACGCAGCTGGAAGTCTGCATGTCTAAAAATGAATTGCATAAAATTGATGCTTTATGCGTAAAATTCTTGTTGGGGAAACTTACTGCTTCGTTGTGGAATGAAGGCCTCAGTAGAAGTAAACTAGTTGGGAAGCTGGTAAAGTTGGGCCTCAGCTCATTGTGTGAGATGTGCAGTTGAGAGGCTTGCATTCTCATCCATGGCTTTTATTCCAGCTTCAGTTCCTACTTCAGTACCTCCAGTGCCCTGCAAAAACCTCAAGCTACATTTCTTAAAAGCATTTCTATATAGATAAAACTAAAGACAGGATTGTCTTTGAAAAATCAGATTAAACTAAGCATTTCTGCTGATGGACAGAAGTTTTATGTGCTACTTAATTCCGTTCTAATAATAATTTTAAATGTGAGCCATATGCATCTTAAATGGGGAAAGATGTGAAAATTAGAAGTTGTTACAATCTTTCCTTGTTTCTCTGGAGCTCATGGCTCTGTGGTCACTCTTCTACAGCATAAATTATACTCATTATTGTTGTAGTATTCAGAAGAAGCTGTAAAATGTGGATAGAAGTGGTTAAAGTGGTTTGTAAGTAGTCAAACATCCCGAGTCCTTTACCAGTTCAACCCAGTTCTTATGCACTTAGGTAAATAAGTAGAAAGGCTTCTTGTTCAGGCTTGCTCTATGTGAACCTGACTGTTTTGCTTGGCTGGCTACTAGGTATTCTCTCTATTAACCTTGCCACCCTTTTGTAACTGGTGCATTTAATTATCAGTGGGATGCTTTAAACAGGTAGGGGGACTGATAAGAGCAGGTAATCTGTTTGCTGGGGGAGGTCAAAAGCAACTATTGACATCTTGGCCTACCTACTAGCCTTCAACAAGTGGGGCTCCGTGAGAAAATCGCCCTGTAACCAGATAAGGTGCTGATTAAAATGCTGCTGTCGTGTGATGCACCTCAGTAGCTGCAGTCACCTAAAAGTTTAAAAAGAAAGATTTCATGTATAGCATCATACAATATAAATATATGTGTTTTAAGAAGAGCAGTGGGAGGGATGGATCCTAAGTCACCCCCCTCTAACTCAGTACATTGTTTCATTAATGCATGCTAGTTTTATGATTGGAATACATTGTAGCCTGGCCACCCAGACAGCGACATTGACTGCTAATATTAACCGAGAACAATAGCGTGGCCATACTGACTGCAGGGAGGATTACAGAACATAATGGGGCCTATCCAAAAATAATGCTAATACAGGACAAGCAACAGGAAGCAGCAGTAGACTCAGCATTGCTCGGCTCCCAGACAAACCATGGACTTACTTCACACAATGGCAACTTCAGCACATTATGTATTCACAGGACACTCATTATTCCAGCAAGTTTGACAGATCAGAGATCAGGCTGATTTACTGGATGCTTAAGCGCATGCATAGTTTGGATAGTGGTAATTTGTGTCCATCATTTGGCAGGAAGGAGAAGTTGTGTCACAGAAACGGTCTTCAGCTACTGGCTTGGCTTATGCCAAGCTGGAATGGTGGGTGAAAGTCATTCCTGTAAGTTGCCAATGAATTAAATTTGTTTTTTGTATTTTTTTTTTTCTTTTCAATGGCACTGAAGTGTTTATGAGCACTGACAGCAATGGAAGAACTGCTCAAAACGAAGAGTGAAAGAACACTGTGCTTGCATTTTCACCTGGGCATATTCTGATGAGACCCACCTGTCTGAGGTTCAGTCTAGCACTTGATCAGGGACTCTGAAGCAGAAGATCACTACAGCTTGCTTTGCCTATATATGCAGGGTTAAGAGAGTAACAATTTACGGGTTGCTACCTTAGCCTTATGTAGACTGGCCCATAGAGTCGCTTCCTGACTGTATTCAAGAAAGAATCAAGAGAATTGTTTCCCTTTTTTCCCCCAAATATGTAATTTCTCTGGATGAGGAACCAGTTGTCTTCAGCTCCCCTGGAGGAGCACTCTGTTGTCAGGGTTCACTGGCTGACCGTGGCATGACGTGGTGACACATCTGCATGGCGTCACTGTGACTTGCCATGTGGCAGCAGGAGCATGCAAGTGAGAGCCCTGCTGACTTTTAGGGGAAGTGGTTTTGTGACTAGCCTGCTACTCTGTTTCTCCATTCTTTGTCTCATCCCCTTCTAGCTGGAGGGCAGAGAGACTGCAGCAGCTCCCTCGGTGTGCTGTGTCCCTTGTGATAGTGTGCCCAGCTCCTAGCCTTCTTCCTAGTGGTGCAGGCAGAATCTGAGGACTGTTCTGAGATGAGTCTTTACAGCTGTGTCTGGCTAGGAGTGCACGAGAAGAACATGGCTGAGCTTAACCTGCTCTCCTTGTTCGGCAGAGGGGAGGAGCAGGCACAACGTTAAGAATGCAAACTTCCCACTGCATTTGTCTAGTCATGGTTTCACATGCTCAGCAAAGCTCTTGCTTGGTTTAACCACAAGGATAGAAGGGAAAGAAGTTTGACAAGTTGCAGCCTCTTTGAAAAGGAGGCTGTCCTTTTGCTAATAAGCCTGATGTTTCAGTCTTCCTCTGTAACACTGAATCTGTAACGCAGAATGTCTTTAGAAGCCAAAGTACAAAACCACCTCTCTTGGGTGAATATCTGGATGAAGGGAAGAAGAAATAGTAGAGAAGAGAGCTTTGAATACCTGTTGTTTAGCTGGAGCTGCTAGTATTTCATTTAAATAGCTAGGAATTGCATTGCTCTTTCAGGCCTTTAAAAGGGACTTTCTTTGGATTTCAGCATCTTCAAAGCTTTCAGCGAGTTGTATTATCAGGGGACTGAGGCTAAGTCATGGTAGCTTGTTACTGAGGGAAGCAACCCTTGCACATGGGTGCTTGCTTTATTTTATTTGGAGTGTGACCTCAACCATTTCCATCCTCTCATAGCTTAACTCATAGGACTTCAGCTTAAATTTGACTGTGCTGCCTTTGAACCCTCTGGGTGGATCGAACTGTGGATGTTGTGCACACTGTGCAGGCTCGCTGTTCCTTTCAAACTGCCTTTCCTCTCAAGTCAGAATCCCTGCCTTCTGGTCAGGCTCAGTCTTACAGTGGCTAATTGGGTGTGACTCCAGAAAGTTCACTGCTGCCTCTTTGCTTAGGACATTGCTTTGATGGAATAAGGTGCACGACGTGGAATTCTTGTGTCTGGATATATATATTTATTCAAAGATGGGCAGAGGTCAGCTGTGGGCATGGGAAAACTTAAACCTCCTCACTGTAAGTAGTCATTCCTGAGATATCTTAATTGTTGATCTATAGAGTGGGGATGATATGCGCTTTTAAAATATAACAATGGTTCAGTCTTTGCACAGAACTCTTTTGGGCAGTTGTGGAGAGGCATTGGCTGGAGTTTTGTGATGGCTGTATGGCTGAGGGGCACTTAGTGCTGTTGTGTGGATGTGGGTGTCTGTGCTTTCTGCGTTGAACACAAAGTCTTGTCCTTTCTCTGCCCCATGCTGAGAGGGACTGAGCCTAGAGATTAAACTGCCATTCTTGATACCGTCCCTTTTCAGGATAGGGACTCCTTATTTAAAATATGTCAGATGAGGTGAAAGGGGGCACATAGAAACAAGGGAGTTGCTAGGGTACGTCTTTTCTCCCTGCATTTTATTTCTACCCAGTTAAGCAGAAGCTCTTTACTCTGTAAACAAACTCCTGTTGGAAAGTGGTCACGCAGGTATCTAGCAACATTAGTACTTAAAGCCAGGATTCAGCCTTTCCTTTCCTTAAGGGCTAGGTGTGTTGGTAAACAGTCCTGAGAACCAACCCGTAACTGTTGCTATGAGTTTAGACAAAATATCTTCCAAAACAATTATGCAAGGCCGAAAGGAAAACATCCTTAACTTCATTGGAAATAGTGTTAGTTGTCATCATTCATTCTCTATATCATAACACTTTTTTTCAAGCTTGCAGAAACACGTTGTGCTTCTCCGTGTTTGCAATTAAACCAGTGAGAAAGCATCCATGATAACGCAGTGTGCATCTCTGAAATGGCTCAGGAGCGCTATTCGAGTTTTTTGATTGATTTTTACCTTTGACTTGTGAAAGAACTTCTTCAGTATGCTTTCAGTAGTGTTCAATGATCGCATCGCGCTTTGTTTTGTTGCAGAAGTTTCTTCCAAGTTGAGACGCTTGTTCTAGACTAATAACAAATATGTCACTTTCATGAATTATTAACCCAAAGTGGTGTGGCCAATGCAGCCTCCCTGTAAAAGTCAGGATGCATGTCTCAGCCTGCCCAGCTTTGCTTACTTTTTGAAGCATTTTCCCACAGTTATCAGTGAACAAAATGGAATCCTAGTCTGCTTTGAATATGAAACATATTTAGGCTATATTCCAAGCTGGTGTCCATCACAAACTAGGTTTTCATTCAGAGGCTGCATGCTGTGTCCAGTCGTGAGAAAACAGTCTGCCTCAGCCCCCTTTTTTTTCTTTTTTTTTTTTTTTTTTCCTCTCCTCTCAAGGAATTTGAGGTCTGCCTTAAAGCTGCACCTTGTAGCAGTTTATTCTCAACTCTATTTTGGTTTCTGGTACAGAAAAAGTGTTAAGGGCTGCAGGCCACTACTGAGTGCATATATAATTAAGAAGAAATAAACCTTACAGTACACAGCTTCTGTGGCAAAGCATCAAAGCTCTTCATGGAGACAGTTTATATTTGTTCTGTTATTGTTCTCACCAGAAAGATGTTACGTTTATTACTTCATTTGTAGTTCTTAATGTACTTATCAAATCAGAGGGTGTTGGGGTTTTTTTTGTTTTTCTTTGGCTTTTTTTTTTTCATTTTGAAGGCTTTTTTGAATCCTTCTCTAAGTTTGGCTGCGCCTGGCAATTTTGAAAGATACAGCTAAGTTAATAATATCCCAGAGTAGGGAGGGGGAAGGGAATACATCTTAATGGCTCTTGTTCTCAAGTTAGAATTGAAGATAAGGTGGCTTAGATGAAATAGCTGGCATCTGTCCAACCCATGGAGTCACTCTTGATTAGTTTATGCTGATGATTATTATTACTGGAGTGCTAGGAAGCTCATTGGCAGGTTAGTCTGTCTGTAAATGTGACACGGGGTGGATAGTGCGTCTTCCCTTTCCCTGCTCTTCCAAATAGCTCGATTTTAGCCTTTGTTTTACAATGCATCTCTCTTAGCCCACCCCCTTCCCACATCCATCAGTTCTTCCCTCAGTTACCTGATACTTGTGGGAGCTGCGATGGCCCTCATGCAGACAAAGCTTTCAAAGGGGGTGCTGAAAAGCAAAGTCCCTAGAGATTGTGCTGTCAAGGCAGAGCACAGTAATCTTAGCAACACTTCTTGCTTTCAGGATGATTGGGGGCAGGGAAATCAAGACTACTTTTCTCAAAGTAAAATTCTTTTGAAGCAGTTCTTGAGAGTGGTGGTTCTTTTTTGTTGGTTTTTTTTTTTTTTTTTGGTTGCTGCTACACTAGTTCAGTGTGTTCTCTCTTCAACATGCAGTATGCAATTCCACACATGCTCAGCTGTGGCTACAGCATAGTGTCAAAGGCTGGACTTCCTGGATAAGTACATAAGATGCATTAATGATGACAAAGATGAGCTATCCAAGGTGAAAGGTCTTGTAAGTCAGACTGGATAAGGTAGCTTATGGGGTTTCAAGAAGATCACATTTGTCTCAAGTATGACCTATTACCTATTTCTGTTTTCCTGGGCACAGACCAGGTATTTTTTGAATTTGAATTGTATTATTGTTTTTCCTTCAGGTTGTATGTGGCTTTGAAATTAACTCTTGTTTCTCTTTTGCAGAGATCCTACACACTGCTTGTCGAGGCATGGGATTACAATGATAACTCTACTAGTAAGTATTTGTTCCCTTGGTTTAATTTGTTTGGACTCCTTGATTTCCTGTCTATTGAAAGGTATTTGGCAGTCTACCCAACTTACTGTGAACAGTGAGGAGAGCGATAAGCTCTCCCACAATCAATTCA